GCTTTGCCTGCTCTCCCTAAAACTGTCCCTGTAATCCATGGATCGTTTTCATTTATCTTGTATTCGATCTGGTCATTTTTTCTTAATGAGATCTTTTGTTGGTATGCCAATTGTGGTTGCTCTTCCACATCATGTGCATGGTGCTGGGTATCAGGGTCTTGTTCCTGACCAACCCTTAATGCACCCAGGTTTTCACATAGCTGTGGCGTTGAGATTGTAGCACAAGAGCTATTATCTCTTTGCAAGGGAACTGACATATTTGGATTTGTGTCCCTTTGATCAACAACCACATCATCATTTTTCAAGTCTACATCCTTGATTAGTCTGTTTGTTGACACACGAACATATACACCAGCATGGCGTACAAAAACAACTTTTCCATCTTGATAAAGGACTTTTCCTGGACCAAGCCATTTATGACTTCCATCACGCTTGTAAAACACCCTGTCACCAGGATTAAATACATCATCAGTGGCTCTGATAGGATGTCTAAGTGCTCTCCGTATGCGTTCATCAGCTTCACATTGAATGAACGCTTTCCTTGCTGAAAATAGGGCATCCAAATGCGTTTTCAGAATTTCACTTGAAGTGGTGCCTTGTAGTGCTGGAAGTTTCTCTGACATAATGTTTGGCAAGTTTGGGTTTTTTCCAAGGACAAGCTGATAACTGCTAAAACCATTCCACATCTGCAATGAATTTTTTGCTACATTTGCCCATGCTAAGAGAGTATTTTCATCTGTCTTGGGATTCTCTTCTGTTAAGATTTCCAGCATTCGATCAGTAATTTGGTGATTTCTTTCGCATAGACCATTGCTCCATGGGCTTTCAGCAGGAGTAGAGGAAAGCTGGATATTGAGAATACTAGCCACCTCACGCATTTCAGAATTATTGAATTCTCCACCATTATCAAAAAAAATTCCTTCCATGACACCCCATCCTGCTCCAATCCAATGCTGGATGATTTTCTCAACAACAACATGTGGGGATTTGCTGTTAATAAAAACTGACACACTCAGTCTTGTGAACATATCTATCATGTGAAGGATATACTTTCCTTTCCAGCTCTTCAGATCAATGGCTATTTTTTCATTGAATCTACTTGCCATTGGCATACTGACCACTGGTCTTGCTGGTGTCTTTTTATACATCTTGCATGTCTGACAGCCATCATAAATCTCACAAAGTTCTTCATTGTATTGATCTTTCCACACTCCAGCATCAGCCATTAATGCTTTTAGTCTGGGCATAGATGGATGGGCAAATTGTTTGTGCAGCTTCTGCAAAATTTTTTTTCTTTCTTCTGGCATAACATCACTCAGAACCACATTGCAAACTTCCTGTACCCTTATCTCATCAGTTTTTCCAATAGGAATGCAATAATGACCACTTGAAGTAAAGTTTAATGGTACTTCGGTCCCAAAAAACTCTGCTGTATCTTTTTCGATGTTCAATTTTGCATTGGCCTTTTTTAGAGATTTTAGACTCAACAAAAGAGGGATGGCAGACATAACAACATCCACTTCAATGACAACATCTTTGCCAGCAATATTACAAGGTAATTCACAAAACAAGAGAGACTGTAGGACTTCACCACCACCAAATTTGAATACCTTTTGACCCTTGGTCTGCTGTATTTTCATCAGCTCACCATCTGGTAAAGTGCTTAGGTAACATTGAAACCATTTTTGCCCACAAACAGTAGAAGTACAAGCTGTGTCAAGTACAGCACAATTTTTTGCTTCTTCACCAAGAACTTGCACTGCATCTTTGTTGTAACCAGTAAATAAGACAACTTTCTCTGCAGGGTCTGAAAGAACTTGTTGGGCCATCTTTGCATTTTCATAAGAATAAGGGCAAGATGCAACTAGATGGCGGTAAGAACCACAAGCATGGCAGGTTAAAAGTGAACCATCAGGGCCCTTTTGATTGATTGGCCTTGCAGAAGCACCACCTGTACTCACTGGAATCCGAGCCATCTTGCGACTTTTGTCACTGGGGAATATCCTTGAGCCTCGACCCCTTGACCAAGGCCGCCCCCTGAATGTTTGAAAGTTTCCCATTGCCAAAACATTTTCTGGAGCAGCAACAAAGGCAGGTTCCAATTTTATTGCAGCTGAACCTGAATCATCACCAGAAGCCAAATCTCCCTTAAATTTCTTTAAAGATTTCTTAGCCTGCTCAAACAAGTTGTCCTTTTTGTCAAAATTTATCCCAGACAAAATCAACAATTTTTCAGGCTTACTTATATTTGCACTACTTAGAAGCTCAAAACAAATAATTTCTTGCGGTAACTTAATCCCCTTTTTTAGGATACGGTTATATTTCTGTTCAAAATCAAGAATAAAATCACTTATCTTCTGGTCAGCAACTCTGGTACAATTTTTAAACTCTTCATACTTTTCTAGGCTATCCTCCATATCATCTTTACCGAGCGTTTTTTCCATGAAGTTGAGCAAAGTGCTCAAGCCATCTTCCTTTTTCAAATCATCGAGTGGAACACTTTCCATCACCTGCGCCCGTACTGACTCATTTTCAGGAAGAGAAAGAGCAACAGCAATACCCATTTTCTTTTTCTCCAGATCCGTTATTTCACTCCACATTTTAACTTCCACTTCCCATCGCTCAAACGTTTTTTCACTGCTGTTGAACACAGGTGGATTTAATTTCATGGCGGCCATGATAGCTGACGGTGCGTGATTTAGGCCTAGGGCCTGACCGGCTCCGTAACGTAAAATAGGGAAGGAAGTAAATATAGTCCAGTACAAACGACACAAAAATCAGGCAAAATGGCACAAAAACACTGATATAACGCTCCTTAGAACTTTTTTCCTCTGCTACCACTGTTAAACTTGAATCTCTGTACATATACCCACCGCACGTGCTTCGCTAGTCTTCACTACTCTCTACACTAACAACAACAACAACATAACAACCATTCCTCTTTCCAGGAGTTCTTCTGCCCGAAGCCGTTGACCCCTCAAGTCTAAGCTCCTCCGCCCTCCTTGTCGGTCTCCTGCCAAGTTAGCCGTTGGCCATCGCTTGTAGCCCTGAGCTAGGGAACCCTGCCAGGTGGTACCATTTGGGTCAGGCTGGACCTGTAAGCTTGTGGAGGGAAAGGACGCTTTTATTCCCCATTCATGTCCTGTTGGAGCATGCCACTGCAGGAAGGTTTTAGTTTTTTTATTTTTAATACCTTTCTAATACCATCAGCCAAAGAGATAGTGGACAGAGCCTCACCTAAGGACAAATCATTGCTGGAAATTGACTTGCAGACCTTCCAAGTCTCACACATTTTCATGAAACACATGCACTACAGCCTGTTCTCGTACTCAACTAGAAAATGCATTCTACAATAAAGTTTTGATTTATTCAATTTTGATGAGCTTTTTTTCGAATCCTAGCAAAAATCCTCTACACAAGGCCTCGCTACAGAAGATGAAATGAATACATAAAAGCAAATCTCCACAGGTTAAGTGGTGCCATATTTATCGGAGATCTAGTTCATTGTCATCGTCTCTTGCCTGCATGAATCACATGCAAGCTCTATTGCAACTATGAAGGACAGTAATTTTTGGTGAAATGTACAGAGGACAATGATCTCCCTTTAATAACATATAAAATAATTTGGAAGCATCTAGTAATTGACAAATGGTTACTACAACCTGCGGAAAGTGTTTTAGAAGGGATTCCCATTCTTCTCCTGTTTTTTGGGTGTCTGCACGCAGGTTAGAGGTCACATAGCAGCCCCAAAATTTTCCCCATCATTTCAAATAAACTCCATTCTTTTTCAAAACTGAAACTTGACAGGCCTGAACTTCTTGGATTTTTAAAAATGTGTAGCTATAATTTTGCTAGTCATGCCTTCTGATGGATAATTTGATTGACAAAGTTTACACACTGGATGTAAAAAGCAATGTCATGAAATCATTTCAAGCCAGCTGATTTTACAATGCAGCTACATAAAATGTGATTAATTTTGATTCAACTGGTAAATAGTTTGGCATCAAAACTACGCAGAAAGAAACAGACAATATTTTCATATTCTTTCTCTAATCAGATGATATGTTTTAAATTTGTGCTGCGTGTCTCAATGTTGTATCACTCAGTGTAAAGTAGCAGAAGCTTTTACACATGGGTAAAAGTCTTATTGTGTTAAACCTTGGGACTAGATTACCAAGCAGAAAACACCTGTATTAAAAGACGATTTTGCTCCTATACAGTCAACTCTACTTGAAGTCAATCCAATTAAAGTCACTCTCTAGTAGTTACAGTCCTATAAAATTCAGACACAAATTCGCAAAACTAAACAATATTGCTCCATAACGGTCACACTCTGCTTACTGTCATAAACTTCTGAACAGCATTTGGTGGGTCTACTGTATTATGCCACAGCCATCATCCATGTATATTTTGTATGAGCCATCATTCACCCAGATCTAGTTGAATATGTTACACCAGTGACAAAATTTAAAATTTCATCAGATACTGGGGGACGGAGCCTGTCTCTTCAAATAATTTTGTAAGATATTTTATTGCAGAAAGTTATCCAAACCCTCGCATTGAAATGGTCTTTTTCTTTTTGTCCTTCCCCTGTAAATCAAAATTTAAACTCCACCCCTTGTGTGGGGGTCGCTTATGTCTCAAAGCAGGCTTATGCCAATATTTTTCTACTCTCAGCCACCTTTGCTTTGGAATCTGTCTGAATCTGCCAGTGGTCCACACAAAATAATTTGTAGCTACTTTAGGAATGAGCTTCCAGAATCTGGCAGGAACCACTGGAACATTTGGGGTGTGTGACTTCCAAACAAAAAGGATTTATGGCCCAGATTGTACCACGATACCCTGATTTCTATGTTATCCTGATTTATCTAATGCTAATTTTATTGGAAATACAATGCCTCTTTATGAACATAAAAAGGTTTTGAATCTAGATTTAGAATGTGTAGTGAATGTCCCTTCTGGAAAAGTATAATGCTGGTATAATGTTATCTTCATGCTAGATATCTTAATTGGTCCAATGGCATTTAATGGATTAAAACAGCTTTTTGCAAGAAGGCACGCTTATCCTTGCAAGGAATACTTCAGATACAATGAACAATCTAGACATTTTGGCATATCTTTACGGGCTGTGAGAAAAAAAATAAAAGTTCATCAGCATCAAGATTGCACCAAAAAGTCAGGACAAAAACCACTCTGTGTAATTCTTGGATGGGGTAATTCAAAGCAAGGTCATCTAAGCAAGTATAAAGAAATATTTGAGCAAAAAGGATTCAGTACAATGACAGTCACCCCACATCTAGCAGATATACTTGTGTTTCCAGAATCCAGGGGAAAGAAGATCAGTGAAGAAGTATTGAGGATAATGCTGAGAGAATTTGGTGCTGAAAAAATACCTGTTGTGTTTTATTTGTTTAGCAATGGAGGATGTGGCTTGTATTATTTTATTTGTAACGAACTTTGCAAGAAGAACAGTAACTATCATAGTAAAATCAATGTGATTGGGAGTGTGTTTGATAGCTGCCCTGTTGTGCCAAGTAAAGAGAGCATCAGTCTTTCGCAAAAGGCATTCACACAAGACATAAAGAGCCCAGTTCTAAAAGCTTTTGTTTGGTATGGAATTAGATTGATATCAATCCCACTAGTTTGGCTAAATCCTGTTGTTAGATCATTCATGGATGGTCTAAAAAATTCCCCAATTGTGTCACCTCAGCTGTTTCTGTACTCAAAGAATGATCAGCTTGCTCCACATGAAGACATCACAGACTTTATTGCATACCGTAAAAGTTGTGGTGTTCCAGTATCAGCTAAATTGTGGGAGAACACACCACATGTGGCTCATATGAAGTATGACCAGGAAAATTATGTTATGGTATTGGAAGAGTTCATAAAGAGTCTGAAACACTAGAGGATTGCAATGGTCTCAACAATAATCATTTTCTGGCTTTGAACTGTAAATAAATTGCTGTGGTAAAAAATGTAATGGAAATGATCTCCTGCCTATTCATGTATTGAAAAATTTATGCTAGTGCTATGAAATGATGTTTTAATTAAATTAATTAGCATAAGGTTCTAATCAGTTCCTTACATAAGTGGTTTTTATGCCTACTTTTCTGATTCACACATCTATCCCATCACATGCCTGTGTTATCGGAAAAACTGCAATCGCAAGCATAAAATCAGACAGGCTGTCAGTGGTGTAGGGTCCATGTACCATACTTTTTCAAATAAGTCCACACATTCAAATAAGCACATTTCTTTACAGGCAACTAAAGAAATTGGGGAAAACCTTCAAATAAGCTCACAAGTCTTATCACTAATAGTGTGCAATTATTTGAAGTCAAAAACAAGGAACTTTTAATATAGAATTTTAATATAATCACCCTCAGCCTGAGCATAAATCAGCCTTTGCATGCTAAACAGCAAAACATTAAAATGTTCAGAGATTTTATATAGATCAAGAAAATTAAAAAGTCTACAAGGAAAACATCTAGGTGATGATAAAAAAACAGTAAACAATTCGCATCAAAATATTTATGAATGTTCGAATCCTGGTGGCATACAATTGCTTGGCTAAATCCTATCACCTATCAATGTCAAAAAGTGGTGACAGGATTTCGTTTGAAACCATCATACTTTAACCACTCAGTTTTGGTGATGAATTTTTAGATAAAGATTCAAAAAAACAATTAAAAACTACTGGGAGAAAATGAAAATAGCAATGGAGCTTGGAGAGTGAATCACATAATGGATTTCTTAATTGCAAATCCCATATCAACAGTACTTGTTAGCATTTAGACGCACACAAAATAATCACCATAACCTTGTATGTTTGAGGCTACAACCAAGATAAATCTTGCTACAACACAATTGCGTCACAAGCATGGCAAGCTAATATCAGCATACAATTCATTCTTGAGCTTTAAACATTTTATTTTGTATATTTTGTCATACAAAATGAAAGGACAACACAGAAAGGGTAAATTGCTTGAAAGAGCTTGCAAAGAAGCTAAACATGGCAACAAAACCATAAAAGTGCCAATAAGACATATTGGAAACAAATTTTGGAAGGTGGTTGAAATTAGTGCACTGGAAGCTGTATACTTAGCATCTTGAGAAATCAAGTTTATTTGTACCCCCGCTGCTGAGGAGCTAACATTTCTTGTCAAAATTACGAATAATTGAGTCTTTGCCTGTAATAAACATAAATTTAATCTGTTGCTGTTGGTAAAGCCTGATTAAAATTTGATTTTAGCTCAACCAAAGTTTTGTTTGCTTCTTTAACTTCTTGCTTGTAATTCTTTCCCAGATAAACCGTTTTTCTTGGTCAGCCAGCCCCTGTTTAAATTTTATCCAATTTGTTTATGTTTTGTAAGTTATTGGACAATTAGTGTGTTGCGACTTGCTTAAATCAACATTTCTTGTGATTTCTGCAAACCAATGACAAGCTTACAAACAGGTTTTCCCTCACTGTAAGAATGTTCAAAACAATGTGGATTACAAATTTAGAGCTGTAAGTTCTTATTTGTCATCAAAATACTTTCATCACGGAAGTGTAGCTGTCACAGGCCTTTTCGTAAGAAAAAGCCCATGCGAGTTGCCTATCGCTTGTGTGATTTCTCTTGTGCGAGCTATCCCTCTGATAGTGAAAAAATTGTTCCTGTTATAAGGTACCCTTTTGTTTAAGGTAACATCAAATGAAAAAGAACTGTTACAATGATCTGTAATGCACTCCAAGACTAAATCCCCTTTATAAATGCGTTTTCCTTTACAAACTTAATGTACATCACGAAGGTCAAAAAAGACGTTATTGCTAGATGATCGCAAAATGTTGTTCCATACCTTTTTAAAAATGCTTTTACTACCTGAGAAAGTCATAAGTGACATTGTAGTTCAAATACTATAGTATAAGTAAGTATTGTATTCCTAAGCATTCGCGTGGGATTGATTTTCAAATGCATTTTTTCTGTGTTTTGATATACGGGCTTTGTATTGTCTATATCACTTGCTTGGTTTGATAAAAGATGACTAGAATTGTGTTAATTGATGAGACATTTATTCCTCACAATTTACCGTTTTGCGCAGCGAGCGATCAAATGCCCACGTGGTTGGGCTTGAGCGAGTGCTGACGCGATCACGAGTGATCCCTCGCGTCAAACGAAAAGGCCTGCTGTCAAATCAGATTTTCATAAGATTTTTCACAAAAAATAATTCTGATGTGAAAGAAAGATTTAAGTATGTTTTGTAAAATAATTTGAACTAAGAAGAACATTACAAAAAATGAACTTATGACAACAGTTACATTGTTGCTGCAATCAGGAAATATTCAAATGAGAATGTTATATGCAAATTTAAGTTCAAGCTATCTTTGCTGATAACAATGGACATGATATGTTTGCTTATCAAGTACGCTCTACATGCTGTCATCAAACAGCTAATAATAAAACATGCAACATTCATAAACACTTAAAACCTTTGAATATTACAGTCAATGACTAATCTACCTTAGGCTCTCCGTTAAAGTGAACATTGACTTGGTTTTCAAGTGATTTCACCCTGGTTCTTGTTTCGTTTCTTAATCCTGAATCAATGGCTGTTATGCATTCTTTTTTCCATGTTATGTCAATAAGAGATGGGTGGCATGGATATTTCCTGAAAGTGGCTTCTTTTACAGCATTAAGTTTTCCGGAATCAAGGGGACCTTTGGGCAATGCACGACCAAAAACACGTCCAGTACAGTTACGACCCCTCCTCTCTTCAGTACTGAATACTTGAAATGTTAGATTTTTGGCAAAATTTCCACGTGATCGACTCTCAAGAAAAACCTTCTCGATGATAGAATCAGATATGACATATGACATTGTAGCAGCACCTGATAAAGAGGTTTGTAATACTCCAGGTTGAATTACTGCTTGCTCAGCAATATGAGGAATGTTCAATGTGAAGGGAGAGGACAACACATTTAACCAAGGTTTTGAGGGTGTTGATGAGATCAATGTTGAGGCATAATACTCCTGTTGCTGCTGCTCCTTTGTTGTTGGTGTATGCACAACTGGAGGTGTTTGCTGACTTGATGTTGGTGTTGGTGTTGGCGTTGGTGTTGTTGTGGTCTCAGGTTGATGCTGTTGCTGTTGTTCTTCTGGTTGCGGCTTCAGGGTTTGTATTTCAATACCAGTTGACTGAGCATTTGTAGGGACATTAAAATGCTTAATGATTGCATCCATTTTGTTATTAACCATCATCATAAAGTTCATAAGTTCACTAAAATTTGGTGACTGGTGATTGAAATAAATTGCTTTTACCTGAGTAGGCAGTTCAATTTGTATACCCTCTGACCCTCCAGGTTTTGCAGAAACAGTGGATGTTGGCTGGTTTTGACCATCAGCTTGAGAGCTCAACGCAGAGCACAATGCATTCATGATTGATGAGGTTGATGGTAAACCCATGCCCTGTGCTGCTTCTGCAGACACCGAGTCGGCCACTCCAGGATGATTTTCTGTTGTTTTATGCACTATAAATTCAAAAGTATATATCTTGAAATTAAAACATCCAAATCAAGGTGATTGTGATTTCTAATCATCAACCAGAAACTATAAAATTTGAGGTAAATGAACATTAGCAAGACAAAAGCATCAAAACAGTTGTGAAGAAAATTAATGACAAATCAGGCAATGATTTTTATAGTTGCGTGATCAAGCCATTGTTAAGTCAGCCAACTGGATTCAACTTTGAAAAACAAACACCAATGAAAGCTATTTCTATCCTCAATCTATACATTAAAAACGTGCAACCAGGTGATGTGGTATGATGTAATTTCTAAATGAGTATGGATTGCTCAGGCTTCATAGGTCAGAGGTCAAAAAGTGAATTGTGAAATGAGGTAACCAGAACAAACTAAATTTATAGTGACAGATATAAATTTGAAAAGAAAACTCCAAGAAAGTTTTTTCCAAACTCTGTATGGTTTATAAGAAACGGCATTCCCTCTCCCTAGTTATCTTATTGATCAACTGAATGATACTTTAAGGCTACTTTGCAGCACTACATACTAGAAGAGTACTTGTCTGAAATTATATATCAAGGAAGTATATGATGCAGATAACAGTTTCATCATTTTTAGTGAACAGAAACCTTTTGCACTTTTAAGATTGGTAGATTAACATTTCCTTGACACCTGTTGCTTGAATTATCATTATTTTTTAGCTAGTTGAATCCTGATAATATGTATACATGTTACATCTGTTGCAATTTTTGCAGAGGTGTACCTGATCACCTGATGGATTCAAAAACAAAAAAAGAGAACATATAATGCAAACTGGCAGCCACCCTCCTTCTACTTTGGATTAGACAGCTTTATGCAAGAAATGACAAAAACATGCACTATTATTATATATAAGGCTTGATACAAGAAATTGAAAATATACATTTCATTAAGGGTAAGTTTATTAAAAGGCCTCTTACTTAAAACAACAAGAGGCCCCAAAAAGATATTTTGCACACAGACTTGGGATATCAAATGGTTAACAAAAAACCAATTTTTGCTTTGGGAAATTGATATATTTTTGGGGGGAGGGGGTAGAAAGATAAATCTTTATTTATTGCTTTCGATTAACATTGAGGCATTTGCTGATGTGGAAGACTCTATTTTCTGCCAGGAAATCAAATTTCCTTTAACATGAGTCCTTGCTTGCCTCTGTAGGTAACAAATTAAAGGATTTACAACTTTTTTCTATTCTGGGGGGCTGCCTATCGACCGCATTACCCCAAAACTTTAGAAGCCCATAATTTTGCATGTAAAAGGGGCAGGAACATAAAAATTTGCAGAAGTGGATATCTTTGCACATTAAATCTACTGGCCAAATTTTATCAAAATCTGAGAGATTTAGGTATTATGGGTGTGTTGATTTGACATGGAATGACCCTAAGGTGGTTTCCCTAACTGTCATTGTTTTGATATCAAATTCTCAAAATTTGGCTTGGCAAACCCTTTTGCAACTAGCCTAACATAACCATATACTTGCTCTTTATTTTGAAACTATTTTATTTTCACTACTTTAAGTGTTTTGTTTATAACCATGTCATGTCATACATCAATATGGTATAAAAATTTCATAATAGTAAAATTTCATAACAGCATCTTTTGGTAAAAATTCACTTATCCATAAAAAATCAATCCTTGCCACTGGTGTCTAGCCTCAATTTGTCACTTTTGTAGTAAGTTATTCAGTCAATTTGTCAATTTTAAGTTATTCTAGTAAATGCTACCAGATGACAAAACATGTTTTAATGTTTTAGTTTTTGCTTTGCAAGCCAGAGGTGGTTGTTTTCTTAGTGAAAGAGTTTTTTGAAAGGTTGAAAGGAACATGTTGTTTTTATCTTTTTCCAAATCTTGGTGTTGTCTTTGAGCTTTGAAGCCAAAATCACATTGGCATGTAAACTCACATAGATTGATACTCCATTTGGTTGTAGGAACCCTCTTCCACCTCTTCTAAGATCTCAAAATACTTTGGCAAAAGTCTTACATAAAAAATAAATACAGAAAATACATAAAAAAATTATTGTTCTTGGTGATTAAATGTTTCTCTGAATAAAGCCACAATGGCTCAATAGAAATTTGATAAAACTGCATGTTGATACCTTTGTTGGAATTATTGAAATAAACCTCTTCTAAAAATGTAAAGACAGAAAACCACTCAAATCGGTGGACCGCCCATGTTTTCCAAGCAGGGACCGCGCATATGGGGTTCTTACCACATGGCCTAAAATACGTTGGTGGTCACATCAACACATGACACGATGGCCTGCCTAATAAGTAATATGCATGTTATACGATGGCTGGATGTGAAATCCAATCGAAAACAATTGATCGCTTTACAGGCAATGAAACAGTTCCTTTTTTGCTTAGGCCACAGGGTTTGCTTGCAATACATAACTACAAACACTATAAAAAGCGAGAAACAGCCGAACTTACCAAGCTGAAATCCATTACTTTCCAGTGTTCTTCGACGCTTTCTCGATGGTGGATGAACCAATCTATGTTCTAGGAATTTGTTCAACTCTCGAAAGTTCTCCCGACATTGCCTACAACGGTAAACCGTCGACCCACGATGCAACTTGACATGTTGCTGTAGCAAACTGGGGTTTCGAAATCTCTTGTTACATTTACTGCACCTCAAGACAGTAAACAAACGCGAATGGCCGCGAATTTTAGGCTTGATGTCTTCCTCCGATACACTAGCATGATGGTTTGCGGCAATTTCAATACTCTCGTGCTCGTTTTCTTGCAGTGGATGCCCATCCGCTTGCATCTGTATCGCCTCCAAATGCTCGTGCAGGCCATGGTGCGTTTGATCTTCCATTACCCGAGAGAAGCTGTGAAACTTTTGAGTAAACGCGAGAGAAGGGTAGATCCTCGAAAGTCTGAATGTCGCTCCCTTCAGTGTGCGCAGAAAACACGAGCACAACGCGCAGGTGTGGCATAGGATATCTTCTCCTTCGCAGCCACGCTGCGCCTTTTTATGTCATCCAAGGATGTATGTATGTATGTATAATTTTGCCATAAAATAAATTACAATTAAAACTTAAGAAAAAAAAAAGATCTAATTACAGATATATAAAATTTACAGATAGAAGTTAAAAGCATAGACTAAAACACCCCAGGTTAAAAATGGCAGGGATAGCATTAAAAAGGTCAATACGATCTTGTTTTCATAATGGTCCCTCCAGAGGTGTTATAAAAAAATGTGTACATGTAAAATTGATTTGTATCCGAAACTAGGAAAAAAGTTATTCTGGAAAAATGTTAGCTAGAACCTTTTCGTTGGCTGAATTTGGGTTTTCAATATAATATGCAGGGGCTATCCTCCTGACTTTGTAGATCATCATAGAATTTATCTTTGATCTTGTGTTTGAAACTATTGACGTTCTTTGCAGATTTTAGTTTTGACGGTAGATTGTTCCAAATTTTGGGACCAAGATATGAGAGGCAATTTTGCCCTATGTTTTTCTTTCGGAAAGGTCGATTCAGTTTGTTTTTAAATCTTCGAGTGATTCTGTTATGGCCAAATGGTAAGAACATCTCTGACATGTAGGGTGGGGCTGAATTATCAAAAAAAATGAAAACCTTGCAGTCATACACTGTTCATATCTCTTTCGTGGGGAGCCAATTGATATTTGTGAATTCCTTGATTCCTATATGTGCTCTGTTATTTGGATTCAAACAAAACCTGATACAATTGAGCTGTCTGAATTCTTTTGGTCAATCTTTTGTTTAAGTATGGAAACCAAGCACTGCTTGCATAGTCAAAATGGAAGGGAGAAGTCAAGAAAATGTTGCTTTCTGTAAAGAAATCTTAGCCTGCCATTGATTTTGCCTAGGATTCTTGTAGCCATTGATTCAGTCCTTGGCTAAATGGCCAGCTTCTGTAAGTATAAAAACATCTTCCATTCTTACCAAGAATGCTTCTTCTTTCTTGAATGTTCGTCATAACTTGGCAACCATCTGAAGGATGATTTCCCTAGCCGGCTCCACTAAATAACGCTGCTGCAGTGACTTCAAGTTATCTTGCTCATACCCCCTGAATTTCTGGCCCCCCCCCCCACAATCACCTGTCTGAACGGCTCTCTCCGCATAGTCGCACTTTACTTTCGCTCTCGCCTCGAGTCTTTCATCCCAAACGTTTCTTGGCCCATACGCTCTAGATCTCTTATTTTGTTTTTTACGTCACACATCAAAGCGCCCTTTTCCTGCGCAGTTATTCTGGATATAACCGCTGCGGAATCGCCGCTGACCACAGGGGAGTGACAAGAAATATTCCTTTTCAAATCAAAATGGCCTCTGGGGTACGTTGCATATCGATTCAGAAGATCTCGTGGAATCTTTGCAATCTTTTTTAGCCAGCTTTTCTCAAATTTTACGTCCAATTCATTAAATTCTTTCAATTTCAGACACTGTACACTTACAAGGATAGCTTCAGAGCTTTCAAGACTCTGATAGCAGCTGAATACAGCGGGGCTAAAGTGAATGTTTTCCCCAATTTTGAATTTGGCAAGACCAATAAGTCTCCAGAATTTTTGAAAAAGTTTCCACTTGGAAAGGTAAGTTAAAAACTCACTAATTTTGTTTATGTTTTTCCTCACTTATCAGTCGAACGTAACGTATTGGATTTTAAAATTAAGCCTTTCCGAAAGCATTCAGTTTCAGTACACCCACGATTGACCCGATTACTAATTTTAATTTTCATTCTATAATGATCTACCACAATATATTGAACCCAATTATTTAAGTGCTGACAAAGTGCTCATAATTTAATATTCTTCTGACTTCAAGAAATAAGTATCCAGTGCCCGGTCGGCACACAAAAATTTCCATATTTGGAACCAGGGGCGACCGTCGGGAGGGGGGGCTTGCCAATGTCACAGCTGTTACGCCCGGAAACGTCATACAGCATAGGCCCTTCTCTGACCGCATCGGAGGAAAATCATAATATCTCATAACTAAAAAAAGCTATAAAAAATAGCTGTTTTTAGTTGGGACCAGCATAAATCTTACTAGAACCTATAAGAATCGTAATTGAGTTTTGATCGGTATTCAAGCAAGAAATTCTTCGTTCCCAAAATCGGACTTCCCGCCGAAATTCCTTAAAGAATTGTCTATCGAATACCACTGCCAAACCAACCAAACAAATAATAGCTTAGTTTCACCAATCAGTTTTGAATCGTTTTGAAGCTGAGGTCACAAAGCGAAAACGAGGTTAACGATGATCAACCTTACAGAACAGTTTCTATGGAAGTGCCTTTGGGAGGTAAACAACGATTCTCTTTTCAGTTTTAACAATCGACACGGCTTAGATGCAGCTAAAAAATTCTGGGATGATGGCAGAACGATTTTCGGATGTAAAGAAGAAGAAACCATCTCTTGGCAGAGAGTGTGCCGCGTTTGGATGCAGCAATACTTTTTACAACTCGGACGGAGTATCAACTGGCATCCATTTCTTCAAGTTCCCCCAGAAAAACCCGGAAAAGCGTTTGTGGTGTAACTTGATAAAGAGAATTGATGGCATGGATGATTTTCGTGTAACCGACGCTACTTGTCTTTGTGAAGAACACTTCAAAGATGAAGATATCAAACGGAATCCCAGTCGTTGGAGACTAAATCATGATGCCGTCCCGTCTCGTAATCTTTACGCTCAACCTGCCCAGCGTCCTGCACGTAAAGTTCCTTTTGATCGCACATCGACTTCTTTCACTTTTCCTTGCGAATTTCTACCCAGCACTGATATTTTGGAAGATTCTTCAAACAATGAGGCAAATGATCATTCTGCTGTGTTGCCTGAACGTGACTATGCTCGAGGTGTTGTTGATGATGAACAATTCCTCAGTCTCTTGTCCGACCATACAAGCCTCAAGCAAAAAGTTAGTGAATTGCAAGCCCAGGTACAATCTTTAACCCACCTTACAACAGAGTTAAAGAAAAAGTTCTTTTCTTTAGAGAAGCTGCAAAGTGATGATTCTGCAGTTAAATTTTATACTGGCTTCCCAGATTATTCGTGTCTGGTTGCTGTTTTTGACTATTTGCACCCTAAGCTTGAGCGTATGTCATACTGGCGTGGTTCAAAGTCAAGTGAATCCACCCAAGAGTCCAACGCAAATGTTTCAAGACCAGGCCGCAAAAGAAAACTCTTTTTTTTAGAGGAATTCGTTTTTGTTTTGATGAGATTGAAAGTTGGCTTGTTTCTTGCAGATCTTGCTGATAGATTTTGTATTTCTAAAGGACATGCTTCAAAAATATTTACAACATGGATAAATTTTCTTGCCAAAGAGCTTCCCTTGCTATTTCCATTCCCATCAAAACAAAAAACACAGCAATTAATGCCTAGGGAATTTGGAATGTACCCTTCAACAAAGATTATACTGGACTGCACAGAAATCTTTACAGAGGTTCCTTCTTCCATGGTAGCACAGTCACAGACATGGTCTGAGTACAAGCACCATAATACCTGGAAAAGTCTTATTGGTGTATCTCCTAATGGGGCTATCATATTTGTCTCGAAGCTCTGGTCTGGGAAAGTTTCGGACAGAGAGATAACTCTGAAATCTGGAGTACTTTCTCTCTTGGAACCTGGAGATAACATAATGGCTGACAGAGGATTTAACATTTTTGATATCTTGCCATGTGGAGTTTCTTTGAACATTCCCCCTTTCAAAGGTTCACGTAGCCAACTAACTCCACAAGAAGCTGAAGAAACAGCAAATATCGCAGCTGTTCGAATACATGTTGAAAGAGCCATTGGAAGAGTTAAGAACTACCACATTCTGGATGGAGTATTACCCCTCAGTTTATATCCTGTTGCCAACCAGATTTTTACTGTTTGCTGCTACCTTACCAACTTCTTGCCTTTCTTAGTAAAGCCAGCAAATAATGAAGATTAATAAACACATTTCTGTATTATTTTGTATGAAACTTTTTTTAACAAGCTATATAGTATATAAACCAATATTTGTATGGGGTCAGAATTCTTTTAAAACTTATTGGTAGATAGCATAAGTAATACGTTTTTAATAATACTGAATATTTTTAAGGTCCAAATATCATGTAAAAGATCCTTAAATTTACCTTATTATAATAACAAACCACAGGTCAACAAAAAATGCCACTAGTGATCATGCTTATATAGATATATGGATCTGAGTTTGATCTTAATGCCATTGTGAGGTAACTGCATGTACAGCTCTTGATATGTATGGTAACTGCAGACAAATGTGTCACAATTAAGTCTTTAATGGGGCTTACCCAACTAATTTTGTGTAATGTTTATAATACCAAATGGGGGAGAGTGGAAATAGCAAACAATACTCTACAAACACAAGACATCTAAGCTAATCCCATTATGTAGATATAGAAGAGGAGAGTGTATAATATTGATACAAAATATGCTTACTTGTTTCTTCAATTGTTTCATGTACAAGGGGAGGGAAGCACTTTCAAATTGGCCAAACTATGTTAACAGAATTTCGATTAAAAATGTTTACACTACTAATATTATTCTAAGATGTACAATAAAAGATGATATGATAAATGGAAAAGGAAAATGAGTTCATGTCTTATCAATTTAGAGTCATTCTTTAGCATCATAATTTTCCCAGCCACCCTGCAAGTACAACTTTAAGCCACGTTTTACACGCTTTGTAAAGTATTCAGGCAAGATTGCACGACAATAGAAAAATTTCAGTTTTGGCAAGACAGATCTCTCCATAAAGCTGTCATCATATGGCACAGACTGGATAAATAGGGGCTCATTGCTGCCAAACCAGACAACCAAATCAATTCTCTTTTTAAGCCAGTGCAATACATCTGGCCCTGAATCTGGTAGAAGTAAGGGTGACTTCTTTTCAATGAAATAACTTTTCCTTTCTTTAAAAAGAATTTCTTATCCTCCAAAGCTGAGGAAAGAGAAGACTTTGAATATGGACACTTGATTTCCAAGCCCCACTTCTCTCCATTAAAATGAACCAGTCCATCAAGGGAAGCACCAAGAAATGAAAACTTGCTTGAAATTTTCAATCCAGTCTCCTCAACACAAATGCCTTGAAATCCTTTCTCAGACATTGTTTGCAAATATAAGGACCTTGCAAAGCTCTCTGACTTTTTGCCATGCTCTAAGGCAGGAGAAGAAAAAGAGGAATAGAAGAAAGTCTGCAACTTTGAACTTGGCTCAACAGAGTTGACAGAAGCAGAATAAAACCTTGAAGCAGTTATTCTGTACATTCTCTGCTCAATCCAGTTTTGGCTTAAAGATTGGCCAATGGTCATCCTTTCTATTGTTAGGATTTCTTCTTCGCTCAATAAAGAGTTGTTTTCGCAATATATATCCATCATCTCCTTAAAGTTTTGGCAAGAAATGTCATAAAAGTCATTAAATGGTTTTGAATCTTGAGCATTGGATTGCACATCGAACAATTGTTTTAATTGAACATTGGACTTCCCAAAGGGTGAATCTAAGGAAGGGACCACTTCATGGTATATCATTTCTTCATCAACAGTGAGTTCTGTAGGAGCATCATGAAATGAAAAGAAACAGCTGTTGGGATTACATGCTGCAAGTTTCAACTTCAAATCTTCAAGACTCCTTGCATCAACTTCTTTGTCACTAGCTGAACGAGGATCATATTCCTTGCATCAGGGAATACTGTTTTTATCATTTTTTTTACCAAATCTGATTTTGGCAATAATCATTTCATCAATTGGCAAAGGAACCACCTTTGTTGATGAAGGGACATTCCATGCTGACAATGTTGATGTACAAGATACAGGCTCTGGGCATTCTTGGTAACCTTTTCTGTTAAAGTCCTCCAATGCAAAAAGAACACCTCCAACATGGTTACATTTACCAAAACCTCCCAATCCAACACCAGCTGGGCAAGTACAGGCTGCACAAGAAACGTCTCCAGTTGAGTTATCAAGAACAACAAGCACTTTGTAAAGGGTGTTTTTCATTGATGCCTTCATCCGAATGTCAAAATAAGTGCAATCATTATCTTTAGCAACTGAAAACTTTTTAATGAATCCTTCGTAAAAGAATTGAAAAGATTTTAGCTTCTTGTAAGCAGTACTTTTTAACACAATGTGGTTGTACTTGAAGGTTTTAACAACAAGATATTCATACAACTGAATAAAAGAAAATGGCGGCGTATTTCTTAAGTCGGAAACCCAAGGTAAATGTCCACATCTTGAACGGAAAATTTCCTCATATGTCAAGGCACTTTTTTCTGTTTCAGAAGAGGGAGTCGTCGGAACACTTGCCGAGGAATTCTTTGAATCGGCTTGAAGAGCACGGCATAAGATAGCGTATGTGCGAAGAACTAGATCGGCCTTCGTTCCTGATACCTTTTCTCTGTATGATAACAAAATCCGCTTTAATTCCTTAACTGTCAAGGAAGCCAGATCTTCCAAGGTGCTTACTGACTTACCATCGGGAATCAATTTAGAAAATTGATCCATCGCAAATATATACGTTTAAAACAAAAATTTTAGGCAACTTCGAAGCACTTCTTGTTGACTCAACTGAGAAGTGCGAAGAGAGATCATCGTTATCCTCGCTTTCGATGTCATGCCTCGAGTTCATTAGGGATTGTGAAACTGGTGATTGTGCGTCATGTTGTTTTCGCTTTTCGCCGCCGCAAAAGCGAAACAATTTCGCCCAATGGAGATTGGCATTTACCCTAGTCTTACATCATAGACTTTTTATCCATAATGATAGCATCATTGGAAGAGGACGCAAAAGCGGCCTCCTTGGCACCAGGTTGGAAACCTTATTCTGTGCCCTGAATGTATTTTAAAAAATCTGCAATGTGTGCAAAATTTAATGGTTTGAAACATTTTGATTTCTACAATTGGCCACGACAAGCTGGGTCAATTGTGTCTCCTCGCGATAGAACCAGACTTGAGCAACAGAGTCCCAAAATGATTATATCATAAAGACATATAATTAGTTTTAAATTTTGAAGGCATGAGCAGAAAGAACTCGATGAAGAGTATCTAATTATGCAAACAAGTCAAATCTGTTGCATATTTTATGCCACTTGAAGTTTGCTAATAAATTTCTGATGATTAGGCTGAAATTCAAAGA